GCACCGCCCAGGACTCTCCGTGCAGGACCCTCCGCCCAGGACTCTCCGAGCCCCCCAGCTCCACTCTGGGCACTGTCGGGAGGTCCGCAGCACCCCGGGCCAGGGCTGCCTCAGTGTCCAGGCTGACAATAACATGAGGGCTGCCAGACAGTGCTCTGGGTGACCCCAAAATAAAACCATATTAGTAAGACGTCTTGGAGAGAACGGCAAGGTGAAGTGCAGCACCACATTCCAGGCAGGAGTAAGGTCTGGAGGAAGTGTGGGGATTGCCCTCTCCACTGTCTCCAAGCCATAAGCCTCAGGGGCCGCCAGCCATATTTATCCTATTCTAACCCGGGACCCACGGCCGTGGAGAAGGCCCTGGGTTTACCAAGCCTTCAGCTGAAAAGCAAAGCTGGCAGTCAGCCAGTTCCTCTGGAGTTAATAAACTCCAAAGGCAGTGCAGCACTTTCATGTCATTCGAGCCTCACATAGACAATTTTGGTGATCTGAGTCACATACTCTCAGCTCAACTCTGGGCAGGTCCCTGCTTTTGCTGTATGTCACCCCACTTTTCTGCTTAAGAATTTTTCTGAATCTGTAGAGCTCATACGCCTGGATGTTCAGGGAAGTTAATGGGTTGGGGAGTGTGGCAGATTATATTTCAAAAACCTGGCTGCGACAGTCTCTCTCAGACCACGTGCCCTTTTAACAACGTGACTTTGACATTCCTCTCCTTGGAGAGGTGGGTCTATGCTCCCTCCCGTTGAATCTGGGAGGGCTTGTGACCACGGTGGAAGTAACTCTGAGGTAAGGCCATCCAGGGCAATGCAGCTTCCATCTGGTTCTCTTGGGAAGCTTACACTGAGATTCCCACTGCCATGCTGTGAGGAAGCCTAACTAGCCCACCTGGAGAGACCACATGGAGACACCCATGTGTCGGTGTTCTGGCCAATAGTCCAACTGAGGTCTCAGGAAATAGCCAGTCTCAACTGCCAGACACCTGGGTGAATGAGCCTCCAGATGGTTTCAGTCCCCAGGTGTCTTCACTCCAGCCTGCAGGTGTTCCTAGCTGAGGCTCAGATGATGCAGAAAGAGACAAGCCATCCCTGCTGTGTCCTTTCCAAATTCCTAGTCCACAGAGTCATGAACATAAGAAAATAGAAGTTGTTCTACCCCACTGAGTTTGGGGTGGTTTCTTACCTAGGAATAGAAACTGGAGCAGGGAGCAAGCCACAAAGGATGGCAGCCTTTGGGCAGATGCCGCGGCCTCCTACTCTGCGGGCAGATTGTTCTGGGAGGCATCCTGTAAGCTCCCCAGAAGCCTGTTGCCTAAAGCAGCAACCTTGCTCCCACTCCCTTCACTCGCTTTCCTCCTTCCCTGACTCTTCTTGCTTCCTGGGATCACCCTGCAAACAACCTACACACAAGTCCTTGTCCAAGGCTCTTCTTTCAAAGGAATCCAATTCAAACTGGCCTCTTGTCCACCCCACACTGCAAGTGTTTTTGCTCCCACCCCCACTTTGCAGATGAGGAGACTGAGGTATGGAAAGATAAAATGATTTGCTCAAGGCTACACAAGGTAAGAGGCAGGATAATGACCCGGGCCTCCTGGCCTGGAGCCCGCTAAGGAGTTGTGGGTGAGGACAGGCAGGCGGGCAGGAGCATCCTCCCCAGATTTGCTCTCAGAGGCATGGTGGTTGGGAGGGTGCCTTGTGACTGACAGTCAGCTGAACAGGTGGCTGCACTGACAGTTTCAGAAGAGAAACAAAATGGCAGAGCTGTGGATGACCAGACAGAAGAGATGCCCCAGGAGCCCCACGCCCCTCGCCAGACCCAGGCCAGGGGGTCTTCACAGACTCACTCCCACTCCGTAATCATCTGATTTAAAAACCATCCCTTTTCATAGTATCAAATAGATTGTCTATTAGTAAATTTAAGTTTTACAGAGTAAAGCCCACTTCAAAGGTCAGTGTACAGATGTTCTTTCAATACATTTCTAGCAAATCTGTTTATAAAGTACCTATCTATATGTCAGGCATTGTTCTAAGCAATTTATCAGGAATCATCCCCATTTACAAATGAGGAAACTAAGACCCAGAGAAATCAAGTGACCTCCCCAAGGTCACATAGCTTGTGGAAAACAGAGTAAATGATAAAATGGTAAAAATGGCATACAAATTGCAAAAGAGGTAAAACAATAACATTATAAATGGCCTATAATTACCAGTTTACTCAGTTTCTAAGAGGCTGGGCTAGATGCAGAGCTCATAGAGCCACACGCACTGAATAAGGAGGAGCCCGGGGCTCGAACTCAAATGCCCGCAAGGTACGAAGTAGGCCCAGGGCAAGAAGGTCGATTGGGGCAAGAAAATGAGCTCCCTGGATCTGTGGGTTTGCAATCCTAACAAGTCCAACATTTTCATTCTACAGGTAAGAACTGAGGCCACAAGAGGATGGGACTTGTCCAAGGTAACACAGCCACTGGGCCAGGAATAGATCCGAGACTCTCCCCTCTGCGTTCTGGATCTGCTGCAGAATGGAGACTCACATGGAGAAGGGACAGGTGGGAGTTGTTTTATTAATAGATTTGAAGCCCTAAGGTGGGTCCTCGAGAAGAGCATCTGGCTGGAGGAGCCAGGGAGTTAGGATTTGACTGGGATGGGATGGGAAGCTGGCCCTAAAAGTTTGCATTAAATATGCAACCAAGAAGTGCAGTTTGTCGCCAGCCAAGAGGCAAGTTCTTCCATTGAGACTGCAGTGCACTGGCGAACTGCATGTTGATGCTCCCCCCACCCCTCTCCCGGAGCTGTTCCCTAGGGAATTTCCAGGAGGACGGGCAAAGAGAGCTACTACCTTCCCCGCCCTTCCTGTCTTCCTTGCCATCGCCCTCTTCTGGCCAGGCTCAGCATCAGCATAGCCCAGGGAGAGCCCAAAGGGTTGGCAGGATTCAAAGATGGTCCCGGAGGAGGATGCACACAGCCGGCTGAAACCATACTCCGGAGACCCTCTACCTTCCAGCCCTGCTGCCCATCCCATCCTGCCTGTGAATCGTAACAGAACATGCATGCCCCTGCTTATCTTGCATTCTCTCCAAAAGCACTGAAGAAAATGTGGCCCCAGTAGGCAAGCCTGCCTCAGGGTTATCCCGCAAGGCTGAGTCTGGGAGCTGGGAAGCTCTTACAGAAGACTCAAGTCTCCATCACTTCTGGATTTGAAGCACCCAGACCAGCACCCAACATACCAGAGGTGCTCAACACATTCCTGAGCCAACTGAATGCCTCCCTACTCCAGGCCCCAGCTGTCCACACTGCCTCCCAGAGGCCCTAGCTCGCACCCAGTGGTCAAACCACTGCCTTCTTTAGCCCCCACCCATGTTCCCAGTGTCAGGGGCCCTCTTTTAGGGCCAGGCCAGGCCATCATTCCCACCGTACTCTGGAGATCCTCCTCCCTGGCCATGAGTTGGGCCCCATGACGAAGTGGGGTACCTCAGTCAGGCAGGTACCTGCTGATATTCTCTCAAATGACCCAGGAACCAACTCATCTGCCCACCTTCCTAACTCAGAGGCCCCGCAAGGTACAGCTACAGGCGGATATTCTGCAGGAATCTTCCCTAGGGTTAGACCAAGCTCCTCAAGCCCAGTTTGATCTTGAACCTTCCCAAGATTCTCAGGTCTCACAAACTCCCTAGGTCCTCCAGCCTCCTAGTAACCTTGTCTCCCCCAGACCTCACCCAGCTCTGAGCCTCCCAACCCCCAGCCTAGACAAGAGCCACTGCAGTAACAGTAACAGTAAAAACAACTACAACGCCGTAATTATACTATCTGCAGAGAATTTTCCCATAATCTTCTGAGGCCTCTTGTAATTACTGTCCCCGGTTTAGAGACAAGAAAGCCTAAGCTGACAGAGGTCTCGGGCGAGTGAAGGAATGGGGCCACCGGCCCACAGCACTCACAGACCTGGCCGGCCACAGCACCCGGGAGGAGCACCCTGCCCCCCCACCCCCACCCACTCCCAGCCCCCACCCCCCCACCCCAGGGTGGAGGCCGAGCTCTTCGCTTTTCCGCTCATCTCTGCCGGCCGCCAAGCGAAACGGGCTGGACAATGCCGGAGATGAACCACTACCTGCGGACCTCTGGCCACCGGCCAGGAGCGGCCGTGCGGGCCTCGGAGCCCATCATCCTTCTGTCCCTGCTGGGAACTGCCCTAAGACCATCGGATCTCTAGGGCATGCGCTTGGGCCCCTTTGAGGGAGGCTAGCGCTTCAACGACTCCAGCTCCAGCTCGGAAGCCGCTCCCCTGGGGACCCACGAGCCGGCTGGTGGCTCGGGTAGCGGGAGCTGCGGCGCTGGGGGGCGACTGCGCCCAAAAGGCCCGCGCGTCCCGGGGCGCAGCTTCCTGGAGGGATTAGAGCACCTGCCGGCTTCCATCTCCGCCCGCCCGGGCGACCCCGGGCCGGGACGATGCTGAGGGGACTACAGGGAAGTGTGCGGCGATTGAGTCTTGACATTCTCCCTCGGCAACCCCTTCCTTTTGCCTGCTGAGAAGCTTTTCTTTTCAAAATCTCTTCTCAAGAGTCGCCACAAGACCTTGGGAAACTTTGCGCGAAACTTACAACTGCCGTGAAATCGGAGCCAGCAACTCCATCTGAGCGTGGGAGCGCCGCGCCCAGCCCGGCTCCTCAGCTGCAGCCCAGAGCGCCGGCGGTGGCCCGTGCCGCCCGGCCGGCTGTCAGCTGCCCAGGCGCCCGCCCCGGGCCGGAGCGCCCTCTCGGCCTCGGGCACCCGCCCCGATCCCCTCTCGGAACGCTCCCGCGGCCGCCCCCCGGGTGCGGCGCAAACCTGGGCCGGGACGTCCCAGCCTCGGAGTGGCATTTAAGCAGTTCCTCCGGGCATTGTCTTCCCGGGGAGCCGGGGCATCTCAGGGGAGGGGAGGGAGACCCGCCCGGCAGACGGCCCACCACTTTATTTGCATTTCAAAGGCAAACTTCTGCGGGACTCCCTGGCGGCCGCTGCACCTACCGGCTTTGCACGGGTCGTGGTAATGCTCCAGCTGCTGCTCCGCGCCTTCTTCGCCTTCCAACGCCGAGTAGTCCCAGGCGGCGTCCGGGCGCTCCCCGAGCCCCCCGGCGCCGCGGGGCAGCGGCGGCAGCAGCAGCAGCAGCGACACCAGGGCCCCGAGTGCAGCCTCCCGGGGCATGGTGCCGCGGGGCTGGCCGTGCAGAGGGAGTTGCGCGCACCAAAGCTCGGCTCGGCGAGGGTCGGGGCACAGGGTCGTGTCTGTGGCGGCCGCGCTCGGCGGTTACGCGCGGCTGCCCGGCATGGCTCGGGCGCGCAGCGAGCGGAGCGCGGCGCCCCCTGTCCGCGTCGGGGAACCGGGAAGCGGCCGCGCGGAGCTACTTGCCCGGCGGCCGAGGCTGCGGCGGCTGCGACTGTGGCGGTGGCGGCGGTGGTTGGAGCAGTGGCCGCTCCGCCCCTCTCCACCAGGGCTGGACCAAACAGCCCTCGCCATGGCCCTGGGCAGCCAATCGCCCGGGCGCCCGAGGCGAGGCCCCGCCCCTCCCCGGCACCTCCGCAACTTCGGAGGAAGGGGAGCGGGGAGCGGGGAGCGGGGAGCGGTGCCGAAGCGGGCGGCCGGCGGCGCGCCCACCCGGCGAAGGCGCCTGCTGCGGGCGCCACCCGGCCTCCGACTCCCGACAACGCCGCTCCTGAAGATCGAGGCCGGGCTTCCCGCCTGTTTTATTTCCGTAACTCACTTTACAACTCCGACGCCCACGTGTACGAAGGCAGGCGGCAGCGGCTAGAGCCGGCAGCGCAGGACCAGAAGCCCGATGTGAGCGGCCGCGTCGCCACCAACGCGTGTGCTTTCGGACGATCGCTTCTCTGCAGGGATGAAGTGAATTCAGGTCCCTTTCAACCCAGAAAAAAATTCAGGACTGCGATTCTCTCAGCTCTCTCAATATCTCGTCGTCCAGCCATGAAGGGCGCTTGCTGCGGCACCCACCTAACCTAACGTAGTGGCTGGCAGTACGTACGGAAGAAAAATTTAAAATGACAGAGTTCCCCTCTAGGTGACCCTATCCTTTAGTAAAACAGTCCAAGATGCTTCATACAGGCAAAAAGACTGACAAATCAACAAGCTGCATGTGCTATTTGTGTTAAATTACATACACGTTTTTATTAAATAAGCCACTCACCATTAACTTGATGGAATAAAAATGACCAATTTCTGAAGTCTGGTTATTTCTTCCCAATTAAAAACAAATGCCCAAATAATTTAGGAGAACGATCAAGAGCTATTTGAAACCCACTTCTATATTGTACATTAAATGTAAAATTGTCACAACTGAGCCATTTTGATTTAGAGACATGAAAAGTATTACCATGAAGCTTTTCAAAGATGTTTTTATGCAAGCAAAATTGCCCAAATCAAGAAGTATAACAAACAAATGTGTATGTGTAGAGATTTTTTAGCATCACACCCAGTACAATCTTTTTTCATTTAAACTGCAAAGCAGAGAAATGAAATGAACTTCCCTTTGGGATTTACATATGGTTTCACATACATTAATGACAATAAGAGTCAACAGGGAGCCCAGAGCTGGGCTTTACAGTGATCTCTCAAAATATGGTCATCTGTCTTCTCATCTATTAACAAAGATAACAAGCAGGATAGAAAGTCCTTCAAACCACTGAGCCAAAGGCACCCTTCTCTTTAACCACTGGAAGGGTGCTACTCCATATTTTGTTAATGGCTCTTAGAAAGAAATGTGGAGTTGACCCTGCTTCATGCTGAGTTTTCATCAAATGGGCACATACATGATGGAGCCAGATTGGGCAAGATCTGTTTAGAAACTCTCAGGCAGGAGTAAGGAATTTGGGGGAACGAATGCCACCAAATGGCAGGGAAGGCCAAGTGGCTGCTAAATAGGCAATAGGTGTGGGAGGGGGTCAAACAGCATTTCTGCCTCAACGCTGGAAGGAGTCAAACCCAACGCCATAGTCCTCTACATTCACCCCAGTGAAGGTCACCACCTGTCAGTAGACAAGTTAACATCTAAAAGGCCTAACAAACTTCTGTGACACTTCCAGGTCTCCAGATGGCATTAGACAAACAGACAACTGGCTTCCTCATTAGCAGAGAATTCCTCTGGAAAACAGACATGAGAGGCCACCTCTTGTGCAAGCACGGCGGTCGTGAGCTTTCATTGCCTCCAACCCCCCCCACCTGGTGAGTGGCTGCCAGGTCTTCTCACCAACACCCTTTGTCCAAATATTTTGAACACGGTAGTGCTGCTAGGTGAGCAAGCTGCACAGTTTTATGTCAGAAGTCCAGTTTAGATGGTACTTTATCATCCAACAAATAGCAACAAAATATCTGGATCATAATAGAAAGGTTAGAAAGGAATGATGGAAAAGGGATGGTTCATATCGGTTCTATCGTTCCTGATTTCACTCACCACTTTCACAGTTAAACTCTAATCTAGGTTCAGATTATTTTTAAAATATATTTTTCTTTAATTTAAATCCCATGAAAAAACTGGAAGTTTAGAAAAGGCTTTATGACCTAAAACTGTTCAATTTAGTTCCATCATTACATTCGTAATTATTTGCAGATTTCCTCCCCATCTCTCTGGATCCTGTGGAAAACCTGTTTAAGTGGACACAAGCTTTTCCTCTCTCTTAGATGTCTTTCCCCCCCCGCCCAGCTCATTTCATCTATATGCCTAGGCCCAGGATAACAGTTCTCTTGCAGCCACTCTCAGACCTTTTCAAGTCTACCCTAACTACTATCTATCCTCTTTACTCCACCTAGGCCACTTCCTTCTCACTTTGCCTTTCCAGGCCACTGTACATCATCATAATCTCCTCCAGTGCAAGAAGCAGAGCCTCTAGAATAAAATGGACACGCTCATCTGCTAGCTCATTCCTTTGTTCACAGTGCTGACCACTGAGAAGGTATTCTGAGTTCTTTGGCAAAGGTAATTAAAAATATTTAATATTGTTGCAACTTTTAGCAGCTGCTTAAAACCCTTCTTGGCCCTCCAAAACCTTTATCCAAGGTCTTCAGGGTGGCATACCAGGCCCTCCATCCACCATCAGGCCTTCCTTTCACCTTTCCAGCCGTGGCTCTTGCCACCTCCCACATTACATTCCTGTTGCATTAAACACCTGGCAGTCATCCTAACAGGGCACTTCACATCTTCACGTCTCTGCCTGGGATACCTTGATAACCACACACCCTGCATCCTCATGCCAGCATCTATTACACCAGCTGCCAGATCTATGGCACCTACCTATTCAGGTCTGCCCTACCCTACTGTCTTGTAACTGCAGCAGACCTCTCTGACAGACTCCATCCCGGGCAGGGGTGAGGAACCGGCGGCCTTCTGATCTCAAGATTGTTTTTTTTAAGCACCAAAGGAGGCAAGAAAAGCTTCATCTTTTCTCTGTTCCACCCCTTTTAATAAAAGGATTTGTTCTGTAAAATGTGGATTCGGTCAAATGGCCGCACTTAAGGACCTAGACAGCCACATGTGGCCTTCAGGCTGCAGGTTCCCTACCCTCTAAATAACCGTCATGTTAATTGGCCAGTTAAAATGACTTAAATCAGCTGCTCGCTACAACCATCTCCCTCATTTTATTTTCATGTGAAACTCCTGTCACCTTAAGCATACAACTTTTGAAAATGAAAATCATTTTAAATAATCAAATAATTTTAAATACATTTGTAGACTACATTAACAATCCCACATGTCCCAATGTAGGCTTATTTCCCCCTTTTTAATGTTACATTGTAGATGGTTTCATAAAATAGTTTACACTTTGAAATCAAGAAGTTGGCTGCATAACAGACTCCCCTCTACTCTTTGTTTTCCAACTAGATAAAAAAAAAACGTTCATTAAAGAGATCAGAAGTAATGAAAATTTGTACCAATTTAAAATTATCTGGCTAACAGGATTGCCAAGTTTAAGTGCTGACTGAGGCAGCTAATAAAACTAAGGGGGAGAAAAGAACTAAGGAGGTTGATAAGAACTTTTAAAAAGTAGTTAGAAATGAAGATGAAAAACAAAAGTACAAAGCAATTAGCCACTGATTTAAATGTACCACAATAAAAATAATCCCTTCCATTTGTAAAGAACACCAATTTTCAATGTGACTTCTACACATTGCGCCCCATACTGGCGAGGTGACATCCCCAACAGTCAAGACAACAGGGCCCTAATCCTGATTTCTTCTGGACTAAAATTAAGAGCTTCTTCAGCTGCCCTAGTTTTTTTATCTATAAAATGTGGTTATCCACTCTACCAGTCTCACAGGAGGGCTGTACCGGAACATACGTAAAATTGCTTTTAAAAAGTAGTAAGTACTAGACAAATGTAATGCATTATCAATCAGGAGAATGATAGGCGTAGGGAACGGTGGGGTTTGAGTGTAGGAGTCAGTTATTATACAAAAAAAGTCAAAAGAATGGTAATAAGAGAAAAATCATTAAAAAAAAAACCTTATTCATTGTACCATTCTCTCAACTTCTCTATACATTAAACATTTTTTTCAAAATACAAATTTTGGGGAAAAATCAAACCTTAAATTTTAAATCCTTCATTTCAGGGTTGAGCAAAACTATGGCCTACTGGACATTTTGGTAAAGTCATATTGGAACACAGGCTCACTCATTAATTTATGTATGTTTACTATGGCTGCCTTTGTGCTACAACAGTAGAGTAGTTTTGACAAGAGACTATATGGCCCTCAAAGCCTAAAATATTTACTGTCTTGCCCTTTACAGAAGAAATTTGCAGACCTCTGCTTTATTTAAATGTGGAAAGCTTTTAATAATCTCTTCATATGCATGCCAATAATAATGGGTTATTCCTTATGATTGGTTTACCTGTTTCAAAACAGAAAGAAATAATGCATCCAAGGGAAGTACATTTAACTTTTTATTACTTTTTAAAAATCCAATTTCAGATAAATTAACAGACTATATAAGAACCTGAATTGTATCTGATACATTATATACTGAATTTCTATTACTAAAAGCCAGTTGGAATATGGCCTACACAAACCAAGGGTGTATTCAAAATGGAAGTGACAATCAAGTAGTAATTGTTTCCTTCCAACTCTGTCACGGACTGCCTGCACTCTATGGGAATTATTAGATTCAAATTTGATATAGTTGAAAAGCCTAAGTGGAACTGCTTTTCCAAGAATGCTCTGTTATTTCTTCCTTGCCTTAAAATCTTACAACATTTATAATTTTCAAACAACCTAAATTGATGAACTGGAGTAAACACACACTATGCTATGTTATAAATTATTAGCAAGCCTAGTTCACCAATATTTCAAAATAAGGTTTCACAAGTTTCTTCATTTCCATTTCCTAACAGTGAAATAAGAACTTAATTTTGTTTACATTTGTCTTGCAC